TTCCATCGGGCCGTACCTTCGGCAAGCGAGCCGCGTGGAACCTTAACGGACACTCGCGAAACGAAGGAGAATAATAAAACTGTGATTTCCTACCGCTTTCAGCTAATAAGCGCATCCGCTCGTCACTGCAACCCGCAATTATACAAAGTGCCGTCAACTGCCGTTCTCGGGACCTCTCTCTCTCTTTCTCTCTCCCCCTCTCCCCCTCTCCCCCTCTCCCTCCCTCCCTCCCCCTGTCCCTCTTACGACGTGTGTATCAAGCGAGTACAAGTGTTACAATCTTGCACTTAGTGTCATCGTTAAACGCGACAGTTTCAGGCAGAGCTGCCGAGATAAAACGCCGTAATCGCTATCATTAGCGCGCTTTCCCCAGCGCGGCCACCACCGCGGCTTCGGTTGGAACTTTTTCGTCCGGCACGGCGAAAAGATTTTGTCGCACGGTAACGCGATTGTCTTGAAATGTCTAAGGATCTGCTCGTGGCGAGAAGGCCATTCAGCTATTCAGAAGTGGTGACGCGCCGCGTCGCGTCCTCGGTCCTCCCTTCGATGCAATACGACTTTAACCTTTGACGGCGTAAGAGTCAGTCGATTCTCGCGGTGATGAATCTAGAAAGCCACATTCGTCAACTCGCTAACCGCGACTGCCCTCTCCGTTTTAATCACCGCGACGCTGTGGAAACCGCGCGCGCGCGCGCAACCCGCCGTAAAAACAAACATGAGAAGAGCCCCAGATGCCTCTGCTTTCTTTCCGCGCGAATTTACATTAATGAAAAAGCAACAAGTACGATTTATAGTCCGTTACGCGCGATTTATAGCCTCTTAAAGGAAATAATTGCACACGTCGTCGTCGAGGGCCGCGGCGTCGTGGTGATTGCGGCCGCCGGAGCCGCGCGGCGGTAATAATAACTCGAGTATCGCGGTGGAAATCGCGGCTCAACGATGCGCGATTACGAATTTCCATAGCTTCTTTTCACGCACGTCCCGCGCGCGGCTTCCGCGCGCCAAGGAACATTGTCGTGGCGGGGCGATATGTGCCGTACGCAACGCACTCGAATGCCACGTACTCGAATGTAGTCACGGCACGAGAGAGCTCGTCGCCGCCGCCGCCGCCGCCGCCGCCGCCGCCGCCGCCGCCGCCGTCTCGTTCGACCGTGTCCGCCGCTGGGGAAAATCGTTAGTGCTTCGGCAGCGGCGTGGCCGACCGCTAATGGGGCCCAAATTAATTTCACGTAATTGTGGGTACACGCTGGTGTGCGTCGCGTCCATCCGGGGCTACCCGTTTTACCCTAATAGGAATAAAATAAGCCCTTATATGTGCAGGGAGAGACACACACACAGAGAGAGAGAGAGAGAGAGAGAGAGAGAGAGAGAGAGAGAGAGAGCGCGTGAGCGCGCGCTGCCACATAATTGCAAGTGGCCAACGGCGGAAATAAGCAAACGCGATTAAGCGCCGTGCACACTGTCACGCTTGCCGGGTTTCGCCTTCGAGGACGTCGCGGCTTGGCCGAGGGTCTCTCGCCAAATTACACGTCGCCGAACCGCGCCGAAATTTCGTCTCTAATGGTAGGAGGCGGGAGGGGGGAGGGGGAGGGCGCTTAATGACGGATCTTCTCCGTCCGTACGACACGTTCTCGTTCTTCCGTGAAATTTGTCGCCGAAAGAATCCTCGTTCCGGAAATCGCCGACACGCCGACGATCTCTCTCTTCTCTTTCTCCCTCTCTCTCTCTCTCTCTCTCTCTCTTTCTCTCCTTCTTTCTTTATCTCCTTAGTTTCTTTCACTGCACATGTGCGCGCGTGTACAGTTTGGGAGTTGGTGGCTTGGCAATATAGCGGCGCGAGATAAAATCCGGAGGGAGATTTGCGTGTAACCGCACGAGCGAGATAGAGGTAACGATGTATGGCGATAATGCGCCTTCGATGTGTTTTTCCATATGTGAGATGCTATCGAGAGTTGTGAGAAATAATTAAAAAAAGCCGACGGCGCGAGGGGGTAGGGGAGGAACCTTCGTGTTACGTGTTACATTTGCAGTGCGTGGCTCGTGTGGCGGCGCTTAATAAAACTGGAAATGTTGCGCCCGGTATCGCCCGGCGCGAGTTCTAGATTTCATTTGATTTGATATGAATACGAGCCTTTTCCTGCCTGTACATTCAGGGAAGATCGTGAGGCAAGGATAACGATGTGGTAAAACGATACAAGCGCGAAACTCACTGAGGCCTGGCTCGGAGATACACGTAACGCGGTAGAAAGTAAAGCTTTAATTGCCACGGAGTTTCTACTTCGTAGCGCAAAAACATCATGTCGTTAACGAAATTAACCGTTATTAAGAAATGTTTCGCGTAATGACTTTTTCGAGTGTCGTTATCGGTCTGCCCGATCGGGGCAGGGGAAGCACGCGAGGAGGAGGCATCGACTCCTTTAATTGATCATGTTAATTGATAATCACCCGGCAGCGGATTACAAACGGTGAACTTTGCGAAAAACTTGGAATAATCCGCAATGTGCTCGCGATGTGTTTCGATGTATTAAAAAGAAGCTTAATTGCACTTCGAGGTGTCTCGAAGGCAGAAGGAATAAGCGAGACCAATAAGCGGCGTACTCGATTCGCGAGCACGATGATTTACAGACTTCGTTTAACTCATTTTGCTTTTCCCCTCTTCTTCCTCAACCGTGCGTAACCTTTGTTTCTTCAAATCTGAGCTCCTCGAGTAGAACGGAGAGTTGCGCGAAGCAACTGAGCACGTTCAGTTTTACGCTCACCGTTCCGAGCGCACATCGAGCGCCGTCGGCCGCGTCCCGAATAACGTGCGTTCGCTTAATCACGAACGTTACAATATGCATCATCGCGTGAAAATTTCCCTGAGAGTCTCGGCTGGCTCGTCTAAACGCCAATCGCCTGATCGTCTTACATTATGCAGGAGGTTGCAAATCGATCGCTAAACGAAGAGGCCCGACGATTCCGTGACCGATGCAATTTCGGCTTTGACAGTGGGGAAGCCTCCTCACTAACGAATCACCTTTGTATCTCCTCTCGCGTGAATTCATCCGGTCGCTTTCTGTTCGCGAATCAGCCAAATACCTATATATAAATAGCGCACCGCATCGCTGCAATGTAGCCTAATCGGATCGAAAGGCCAGAAATCGGGCAGGTAGAGGCAGGGGAAGGATAAAAGGCGAGGCGCACTTTTGATTGCTTCCCTCGGCACAGCACTAAAGTCGAGAGGACGACTCACGTGAAACATGCCCTAATTTTCATGCAAATAAGTGAACAAGAAAACGAGACCTATGCGGCAAGTCGACTTGAAATCGCGAGACGCGAGAGAGGTCATCGCGATGCGAAATGGCCGCGTCCGGCGCGAATCGAATTCGGTTCCGAGTGAAGAAGAGACACACACAAAAGGCAGGTTAAATTTAGTATAATATATTTTCCATATAATAATTCTCGCTATACAGACATTATTTTACAAAGCATGGTTTATATACTAAGTACCTTGTGTATGTGTGTGTGTGTGTGTGTGTGTGTGTGTGTGTGAGTATGTGGGCGTATGTGTGTGTATATGTGTGCGTGTGTGTGTGGGGGGGGGGAGTAGATAGACGTGTGTGTTTGCTGCGATACTTAATCACTAAACGCGTCGCACGGGGCGATCTCGTCGCCAGCCGTAACTTTCCACGACGCATCGTGCTTCCATGCGGCGCGTAGTCGCACGGCCTAATTTATACATTCATAATACTGGTATGTTTTCTTCTTTTTTATCGAACGCGTCCGCGTCGTGTCCCCGGAACATCGAGACGTCGCGCTCTCCACTCCGGCAAGAACGAAACCGCGCGGGACGACAGCGCGACGCGGAAAAAGATTGCCCGATTTTTCCCGGCGCGTCCATCTCTCTCTCCCTTTCCCTACCTCCCTCCCTCTCTCTCTTTCCCTCCCTCCCTCCCTCTCTCTTTCTCTGTCTGGAAAGAGAGAACGCGCCTGTCACTTTCCGCTACGTATATTCGAAATCTGAAAAATACTTTGAAATATCTCGTATATTGTATCTTGGCCTAAAGGTCCTCCGGACTCTCTCTCTCTCTTTCTTTCTCTCTCTCCCTTCTTTCAATTCGCGTCCATCGTTCGTCATTTCACGTCCGCGATTACCCCTCGTCGTATATTTACAGCTTCGTGCACTCCCAAGTGAATCGCGCGCGTTAGTTGCTATATTTACAAGAAGAACAGTGCAGCTCGTTTCTAAACGCCCAAAGCTGCGGGATCGCTCATAGAATCGAGAGATTCGCCGCTACCGAGTTTTCCCGTTTGTAATTAGACGGGATTCTGCGAGCTTTGTAGACCTTTTAGGGTCACCGTTGCAGTCAGTGCGAAATCGGTAGCTTCCTTTTCAAAAATACTGTATTCTCTCTCTCTCTCTCTCTCTCTCTCTCTCTCTCTCTCTCTCTCTCTCTCTCTCTCTCTCTCTCTCTCTCTCTCCCTCTCTCTCTCTCTCTCTCTCCCTCTCTCTCTCTCTCTCTCTCCCTCTCTCTCTCTCTCTCTCTCCTCCGCCACTTGTCTCCTTCGCACGTAATCTGCTCGTGTCGGTTGCGTGTCAGTCTTATTGCAAGATACTGCAAGATCTACCAAACAGTTGCTCCAAGAGGTTTCGCCTGCAATCTTGAGAAGCGATGTCCTTACGACTTAAGCGATTTGTGTATCCTCGTGGGCGAGAGAGTGCAGGAATGTGATAGAGATACGACTGCTCGAACGAAACCCGTTGCGTTGCGCGCTGGAAATTTCACGCGCGCGTCCTTTGCGTTGGAATCGCGGACACTCGCATCGCGTCGACTCGATACGTCGGCGATTTCCCGAGTTTACTCGGGAATTCTCATGGCCCTAAGAGGATCGGGCCGCGCGGTTGTCGCTCTCGCGGAGGAGAACGTGTCATCATCGTGTCGTTTGACGCGCGAACGTCGCGCACCGTCATCGTCGTTTATCGCGCATCGTTCTTACGCCGGCCAACCGGCTGCTTCGTGTTTGCGAAACGAGGCTGCCATTCCGCGACGTGTCATTCTTTTTCATTCTTCCTTTCCCCCTTCGCTCACTTTTCCCCTCTTACTCACTTTCGCCGTCTCCCGAAGTATCGCATACACATACATACACGCACACACGCACACACGCGCACACACACACACACACACACACGCGCGTGACTTTCCCACCGGGATACGAGCGGCGAGTCCAGTCCAGCGTGTGTTGTTGTCGCTCGCAAATGATCGGCCGGTGTCGTGCAATTTTCGGGGCCGTCGCGTCGCTTTGCATCGCTCGTCGATATTAATCAGCTGGCCGAACTTCGTCCGTCGGTCGCTGCTTCGTTGCCGTGGAAGAACGGTGCTTCGAAAGTGCCGGTTTCGCTTTGCCGCCACGAGAACGCCGGTTATTTGAATAGTCAGGGGGGCCCCCTCGTTCGTTTCCCGCCCCGATGCCGCCCCCTCTTGCCTCGTTCTCTTTTTTTGTCGTTGGCGACGACCGCGTGTAATTTCGTGTCATTTTAGATTTCTTCCCCCGCGGCCAGGTCCCCCCTAATGTCATATTAATTGTAGATTCGCGTTCGTCCGCGATTGGCTCGTTTCCTGACGCGACTTATAACCGTCCTGGACGCACGAAAGCGCCCGACGGTGCCGGCTCGGTTCGATCTGGCGCATTATGGTGCTTTGTAGTGTGTATGTGTGTGTGTGTGTGTGTGTGTGTTTGCTGTAAAAACGGATCGGGTTGATCCGCGTCGCGATATAAAAGCGCCGGATTGATTGTACGTCGATAAATTGGGAAAGCTAGATTTCGTTTCGGTCATGAATATTGATTGGTTTCTTCGCAGATGAATGAATCCTTTTTGTTCCCGGCGGCGGAGCGGGGCGGGGCGGAGCGGAGGGTACGCGGGCGGGGATTTTGTTTAAAATTGCGAGATTAAAGGAATCGCGCGCGGGTGGGAAGGGGAGCGAGAGAGCATTGGGTGGCATTTTGGCACTGCAAAATCGAGTCGTCGGAAATCGCGTCGGGCTCGGGCGCGCGTGTTTGGTTGGGACGCCCCGCGACGGAAATTCCGCGAGGAAACCCTCGACCTCGACGTCGCCGGAACCCCGAAACGCGCGCTCGCGCGGCAGTCGCGCTCTGAGAGAATACGTAAGTCAATTACGAGCATTAAAGGGAGAACGAAACGTCGCAATAAAATTAAACACGCAATAACACCTGCGCGCGCGCGCGGATATTAAATAATAATTATCACAGAGTACAATCAGCGGTAATTGCGATCGTAATGAGACGCGTGGACACACACAAATAAAGTACACGTTTTGTAAGTTGCCGAAGTACCGGGAGGATAAGTGCTCCCTCCGAGCGATTCGTTGGCGATTCGCTGTCGATTCCGCACGGAGGAACGCAAGTTGAAATAATAAACAGGAGCGACGAATGAATAGCAATGAGCAATCTCTATTTCCCCGAAGGGACAGCCGTTATCAGAGGGGGGAGGAACTCGCGCGCAGTTTTAGTTTGGTTTTACTTTCGTTTTAGTTTCGTTCTCTCGCGGCGCGGCGCGGCGCGGCGCGGCGCGGCGAGGCGAGGCAGAGCTGCCTCGTCGCTCGCGAGTCTGAATATTCCGTTTCGCGGCGAGAGAGAGCCGCCGCCATTCACTGAACGCTCAAATCACAAAGTTCGGTTAACCGCACGATATTTCCTGCTCGCACTCATTATCTACAAAATCCCGGACGTCCCGTGCTATGTCACTTCCTGTTCTACCTCACGAAATCGGCCGCCGTGTGCGTTCCGTTCGCGCATCTGATTCCGAGGCGGCTTTCGTTACTTCGGATGTGTTGTCGCCAAGCTCGAGCCGCTCCTCCTCCTCTCCTCCTCTCCCTCTTTCTTTATCTTCTCTCTCGCCGCTATTTCTGAGCTTCTGCCTTCGGCGCTCGAAAATGGCCGCGAGATAACGTCCGACCAATTTCTACGCGGCACTGCTTGCCGCGCTGCTGCCTGTGTATGTACATGTATGTATACCTCGGCGTGACTTCTTCAAACAGTCCTCTCTCTCTCTCTCTCTCTCTCTCGTCTGCATCGGCTGCACTCTCTCGCGCTCCTTCGGTTGCGTTCGCGGTAGCTGCGCGCGCGCGCGCGCGCGCGGTTCGGACTCTGCACAGTTCTCAAGGACGGCTTGTCCTTTGAGGGTTACGTAAGCGCTCGTGTTATCAATCGATCTACGAATCTCCTCCGCATGCGAGTCGATTCGGTTATTTATGCCGGGAGCGCCGCTTAGATTCTTATCCGTCAACTATTAGCGCGATAGCTGCTGAAATTTTTGAGCGTCTATCTCGTTATCTCGTGTGGAATCGCCAGCGCGCTGAATTGATCTCGATGTCGCGTCGCGATGATCGTGCACAGGGTCCTTTCTTCAGGTTCTTCCTCCACTCCCTTAGACTTTGATAGCTCCCTTAGACTTTGATAGCTGCCCGAGGATCTTCCAAAAGGCGAAGCCCCTCCCTCTTCCTTCGAAAAGTCCTTGTAAAATGTTGACATTGTTCATCGTGATCGCGAGAAGAGATCTCGTCGCTGCATTTCCTAATCCTGCTCGACGCACTTGTCCTTCTCCTCCTCCTCCTCCTCATAGTCACAGTGTAGCGTCTCAGACACGCCATTGGCGGCACAAGGAACCTCCATGTCCTAGATATCGTGTATGCTCTCTTCGTCGCTGTCGGCCCTTACGCTCCGAGGACTGTCTTCCCTCTGCATGGGTGATCTGTCCTGGCTCTGGCTCCTCTCCCGTTGCCGCGGCCGGTTCATGCCTTCCCTACTGTCCACTATCTCCGGGCTTTCTCTGTAGTAGTTATTCAAGTTCGGTAGATTCGCGCCGGCAGCGGCGAGAGGACCGAGAGGGTTGCTAGGACCCGCTTGGATCATCGTTGAGGGGTAGGCCCGCGCGTCCTTCCTCAGAGGTGACCTGTCGCTCGAGTCCGGGCTCTTGCTCCTCTCCTGCTTCCTCGACCTGTCCATGTTCTCCCTGCCGTCCACCAGCTCCGGGCTGTCCCTGTAGTAGCTGTTCATGTTGGGCAGGTTGGACGTTGCCGTGAGGCTGCCGAGGGGATTGCTGGGGCCCGGCTGCATCATCGGCAACGGGTACAATCTCGCCGACTTCCTGGCCGGCGATCTGTCCCTCGACTCTGGACTCTTGCTCCTCTCCCTCTTCCTCGAGGAGTCCCGGCCGTCGGCCATTTCAGGGCTGTCTCTGTAGTAGTTGCTGAGGGAGGACAGGCTGGAGCTCGCCGTCAAAGAGCCCAGAGGATTGCTCGGCCCCGCTAGGATCATCGTGGGCGGATACAGCCGGTAGGGAAGCGGTTTCTGCAAGGTCGCCGCCGCCGAGGCCTGCTGGTAGAAGAACCCGTTCGTAGGTAACGTGTGCGCGCCAGGATACTGCCAGTAGCGCCCGGCGGCGGGATGCGCAGGTATGGTCGCCGCGCCGCTGCCGTACAGCTGCTGGAAGGCCGCTACGGCGAAGTTGTTCTCGGCCATGATCTCGAAGCCCACGATCGTCTGTCGCTTCCATTTCGTTCTGAAAATACAAAAGATGCGCGCGAGTGAATAACGGCGCTCTCTCGTCGTCTGCTCGCGCGAGTCGCTCGTGCGAAGGGATCGAAGATTTCTCGCGAGTCCGAATTGAATATTGAATTGCAAAGCAATTTGTCGAGAGAGAGAGAGAGAGAGAGAGAGAGAGAGAGAGAGAGAAGTTGTAAGCTGTCCGGGTGACGTGTATAACTTACGTTGCGTGCAAATTTGCGACACAAGTGCTGTGTTACGGGGGTGCGATGGAGATTTTGAGTTGTACGAATATAATTCGTAGTAATAATAGTATTCGAGTCGTGTTCCACATTGAAAGGCATCGCGCTAATTATGGTAAATTCAGCTGCACAAATAGAATGTTAATGATAGCCGACAGATACTCGACACGCATTGACTTCTTCGATAACACATCGAATGCATGCTGCAGGAGCAATCTTCGCCGCGTTTTGCTTCCTCGTGTGCACTAAACGCTGCATTTTTCAATAATTTCGTATATATTGTTTTGCTTATTGAGATATGTAATTTTAATACATTTTTCGCTACATGTAAGTTTGACCGATCTTCATTATACTAGTCATCTCAATTTTATGTATAATAACCAACGGGTGTTTACCCGTAAAGCGTCAAATAAATAAATAAATAAATAAATAAATACATAAATAAATAAATTGCAGGCAACAACTTGAACGATAAGTCGAGCGACATAACGGGTGATAAGCGGGCGCGCGCAGAGTCGGATAAATAAATATCCGCACGCGTGAGAATTGTCGAACACGTCGCGAGTCATCCCCGACAACTTCCCACGCTAATACCGTATCACACGTCTACCGGAGTCGTACGTGCGGAGTCGAACATTGAGAGACGTCTCGCGACTTTGACGCCGATTGTTATTCCCGCAAGGCAATATCGCCGAAATGGATCTAAGCGCGGCCTGCCAATGTCAAACGGCGGGCCGCGGCGCGATATACCGCGATACGGAGCTTGATCACCGGAAGTACGTGCGAACATAGCGTAGTTCCACGGTGGTTTTGCAGATTCTAACGGCGAACGATAAGATCCGTTCCAAGTATTCCCGGGTGTTGGTTCGTAGAGAGAGAGAGAGAGAGAGAGAGAGAGAGAGCGGCGTATGCCTGCCGTAAGAATCGACTGGGCTTTCGAGGCCAGCCGGAGCAATCACGAGCTTTCTGCAATTTCTCCCCGGGCCCCGTCTCCCGCGCGCGCTGCCCCTCTTTACCCTCCTCACGTATGTAAATCTCGATCTGGGACAATTACGCTAAAACGGGGTGGCGTGCCGCCAAGTGGTTACGTTGGCCACACTACCGGGAGCTTATTATACTAACAAATAGCCCGTGGAGTTTCAGTGCCTAATCATCGCGTATCATGGCACGCACACACGCACGCACGTACACACACACACACGTGCAACACACACGCGCGCACGCACACACGTGAACACACGTACGTATGGTCGCGCCGCACCTGCGAACGTAAAAGCGCCCTTAGACGCGCGCGAGACAGAGATATATCAACAGGCCGTAGTCGGGGGTTGATACCGTGTAACGGGGGCGAAACGAACGCGATGGAACACGAAGGGGGGAGACGCGAGGCGAAATTTCCCGCCGAAGGCCGTCGCATTAGCCGAACGTTGCCGCTGGTAATGCCGCGAATTATACCGCGAGGATCACGATACTTGCCGTAAAATCAAGACGCGGGTTACGACGTTTGGTCAGCTGACTCTCTCGGCCGGCGCATGCGTTCGGCGACGCGGTGCAATGAGGGATGAAGGCGGGTTGCGGACGCGAAAACAGGGCTGGGCGAAAAAAGAAAAATATCACGCGTGTGCGGGAGGAAGAAGAAGGACGACGCGTCCATTTGAGCGCGATTACGAGGTTAGCCGATATTGGGGGATTTTCTATGAATATTAACTCGCGAAGTAAAATTTCATAAAAGAAACAGGAATCGGGGCGGAAATGCGATAACGGGATTTATATTCGCTGGAAAAATTAGGGGTGCTGAAATTACACTTGTAAATTACGTTTCATTCGTTTATGCATATTTCGAGTTTGCAGCGGGAGACTGGACTGGGCACGTCCTTCCAAAGAAGGACGCGCTCTGTATTATGTCGCGGAGATACTCGGAGGTAATAATCCTTTCAGCGAAGTTTCACGGCTGAAAAGCGTCATTCAGATGTCGCTGGCAGATTCGTCGCCGGCGAGATTCGCGAGAGCGCGGGGAACGGGAGGAACGCGCAGAAATTGAAAGAGATAAGCACCAGCGATTCGGCCCGGTCGCGAATTACCGAACTCGTAACCTTATAATATCTGAAACGTTATGAACTTTTTGATAAACACGATACGCGAGAGCTACGTGTGCTCACGCGATTAGGGGAGAACTCGCCCTTCGCCGGAGAAATATCAACTCAAGTGCGCCTCGTCGTGCGGTTTAATACGCGCAGTGAGGCGGATAAGACAGAGAAAAATGTACGTAAAGAGAAAACGACTGTGAAGGGCTATTATATTACATGAACCGACCTGCCATAACGTTCATGAATAATATCAAGAAAATCACAACCCTTCCGTGGCAGCGAGGCGTGAATTACATCCGACGTCCTTGCTCGATAAATGCGACTACTTTTTGCCACCCCCGTTAGTGCGGCGCTTGAAAAAAACAAGGAAAAGAACACAATGTGTACATACTACGTATATGTCGCTCCCCTCCGGCCCCTCCCCCCTCCTCTCGTCCCTCGTCAGCCGCCGACCAACTCGTGACTAATTCAGGCATAATTACGATATACATACGCGTTATCGCCTGTGCGTGAACCAAACAAGACTCTTTGTTAAATGTTAAACGAGCAGTCGCCGAGTCGCGCAATCTAAATTCTCCGACTCACGTCGAGATGTCCGCCGCGTGGGATTAACGCGTTAATAACGCGAACGTTTTCAGGGAGAAAAGGGAAATTTTTAATCGTGGCGGAGAGTCATTCATGATTATCGGCGATTTTATCGGCACTGCGAGGCGCGTATATAAATCGGATGTGCCATCGTCGAGGAATTACTACGCATCGTTCTCGGGATCCTCCAGCCTTTTATTCGCGACGATAAATTAAACGGTCCCGCAACTTTATCCCGATAAAAATTCGGCGATTCGCGCGCGCTCGTGTTAACGCAATTCGGGCGATAATTAACGAGCACCGCTGGCGCGTACATTTGTTATACTTTTTCGGCCGAAACTGCGACCGCAATAAAAAAAAAAAAAAAAAAAAACAAGAAAAAACAAAAAAAAAGAGATTATACCTTCGAAATGCGGGCGCGAACGTTACCAGGGTAATAGCCGCGGAGGGTGGTAGGTGGAGAGGGGTGCATTTCGTGGTCGGAGTAATTAATAATCAAGAGATCCGCGCCTAGCAAGGCACAAAGCGGCTCTAACGGATATGCAGCTCGCACGGAAAATTCGACAATTAATATATTTCGTGGGGTGCGAGCCGGTTCCCTCTCCTCTCGCTCTCTCGCTCTCTTTCTCTCTTATTCTCTCGCGATTTTGTGCTGATGTATAGTCGAGAATGTGGGCCACAATTTTTCCCTCTCTCTCTCTCTCTCTCTCTCTCTCTCTCTCTCTCTCTCTCTCTCTCTCTCTCTCTCTCTCTCTCTCTCTCTCTCTCTCTCGATGTGGCCCTGCTCGCCCTTTTGTGACGGGCCGCGATAGGGGAGGTCGCAGTAAAATCGTTCATGAATTTTAAACAGGCACCTCTGAATCGAGCTACGATCATTTCTCATTTTTGCTGCCGGCACGTCGCAGGCGAAAGAAGGACGAGCGTGTCCGAGCGCCCCGGAGAACGAGGGAGAGTGACGGTGACAGACAGCACCGAGAGCGCCGCTTGTGCGATTATATGATGAGTAATGTTTTTTAATTCCCCCACTTTCTCGGGGGACGGGGGTTGGCCGGTGATTTTCGAGTGCAGCCACTCTAAAACACCCTTAATTGCCCGTTGGCTTTTTATAGTCGCCGGCTAGGAGTTGGGGGGGCCGGAAGTAACGGGCGGGCGGAGGGGAGCTTTCGCAAGGGGCAGAAGGAAAAGGTATGAGAGAGAGAGAGAGAGTGAGAGAGACAGCGCGAGAGAAGAGCAGTCATTGATTTATCGCTCCGAAGGTGCTCGAGGGGCTGCTTGATCTCGCGCGAATAAAACGAAAGGAGAACGAGAGCGGGGTTGAAGAGCAGCGGAGAAAGTGTAACGATCGCTTCCATCGCGCTTCTATCCTAATGATCCTCTGGTTCGCAGACGTGCTGCGAAAAAAGAAGGTCCCCGTCCTTTCTTCCTTCCTTCCTTCCTTCCGGCGAGGAACTCTTGAGAATCGATCGCGCACCGCTGCGAGCGATCCGCCGTCGCCGTCGCCGTCGTCGTCGCCGCCTCGTCCTCGCCGTCGGGTGGTAAAGTGACGTGTTATTTAGAAATCTTAGGGTGACTTACGCGACACCCTTCGCACGACAGGAGGCGTTCAGCTTCGTCAGTGCGTTACGAACGTCCAGTCGACTCGAAAATTACTGCCGCGGTGTTGGAAGCTCGCGAATGACTACCTTCCTCGCATTTCTCATCATTTCTCCTCTCTCTCTCTCTCTCTCTCTCTCTCTCTCTCCCGTCGAATGTAGAATTAACCCTATCGAAATACCCAATGCGCCAATAGAAACAATTACGACGGAAACATAGCACGCGCGGTATATCATGTCGAGAATCTCGGTCGATTCCCCGATCATCGGTACGGCATCGCCGCGAGTATAACGTACTCGAAATTTCGAAATCGCCGGATAAATCCGGCGATTAGCAAATCGATAAGCGATAAACGCGACTCGCCAGCCGGACCAGCTGGACGCCGCGCGCCGGTGCGAGCAGAGGCGAAAAACTGGCACGTCGGCAAGACGAAGAGGGCGAAGCTGAGGGGAGAGTTAATGCATTTATAATGGTGGTTGGGTCTGCTGTTAGCTGCTTTTGCGGTTACA